TTTATGTCTTATAATATATAACATTACACAGTACTAACACTTCTTTTTTCTCAAAATGTTTTAAAATTATTTTTCTGTCTGAAATGATTTTTCTCTTCATAGCTTGGTTCTATAGTTGTAGCCTTTCAAATTATATCCTAGTTTGACTCTACATATTTATCACAATGAAATGTATACCAATAAATATGATTGGGTATGTGTATACATACAAACATATATATTTGCATACACATGTAATTCTCTAATATATATCTACAGTGTATATGATCTTATAAGATTATATACTTTGAAAATATCATAATGACTTCATTGTGTGTGTCTACAGATGCATACTGAGTCTTACATTATGAAGATTATATATGAAGAAACGAAGAAAGAGTATTTTATACTCTTTCTTTAGTTACCACTTAGACCTCACCTTGGGAAAGATTTCTCTCTTGATGTAGTTTAATAAAGGACCCTATAGCAGCTTACCCTTGAACTTTTCTTCATAGGCTATAGATTATCAAGACTTCTGTTATCTAAAGACATATATTTATATAACGTTAAAAATACCATGTCAAGTTCCAACAGCTGAAAATAGCTGGAAGTTATAATAGATCAACTGGAAGATAGAGTTTTACATTTTAAATGAATAATTAAAATTCAGAATTTTCTTTGATATGTTAGTGGTAAAGTTAATTAGAGTTTATGACTTACAGTGAAGCATAATGAAAATAATATTGATTTAGGTATTATAAGAACAGAATACTTGTCTGAACTTCACACAGTTTATTTGCTCTGTGACCTCAGCTTCACTCATCGCCACCTGAAATGTGTAACTAATAATGCCTTTGCTGCCCACCTCCTCAGAGTGTGATCAAGATGAGATGATATATATGAAAATACTGTTAGTGCCGTCTAAAATGTTATGGCTATAATAACAGTCAATATGTGCCATTGTATGAAGCATTATTGTCATTCATCTGACAGTTTATGATGCAAACAATGTTAATATTACAGTTTTACAGACATGGAAGTTGAGGCTCAGAGAGCACAAGACACGTTGGTGAGTGAGAAAGGCATGATTTGAATCCAGGCCTGTTTGACATTAGAACTAAAGCTCACAATCACATCACATCACATCACATTCATCTGAAGAATAATTGATGCAAAGTCTTACATGTAAACAAGCAAAAATGGAGTTTTTTTTCATTATTATTACATCTGAATTCTAAATGTGAAAGCAAAGTAATATTTGTTTTTCATGAAAATCGAATGCCATTGAGTTCCAACCTTCCAATTGTGTTCTTCTCTTAGAATTTAATTGTCCTGAACCCACTCACAGTGACGGAAGAGGAAATAAGACCATCACTAGAAAAACGCCTTGAAGCCATCATCAGTGGGGCTGCTCTGTTGGCAGACTCTTCATGTACAAGGGATTTCCACCGGGAGCGGATTATTGCAGAATGCAATGCCATTCGCCAGGCTCTTCAGGACCTGCTTTCAGAGTACATGAACAATGTAGGTGAAGAGTTTGTCTACATACCTGTCCCCATTTCCCTATTTGAGTATATGTTGAGAGATGCTTTCAGAAGATGATTAATTATGAATTAGTACGTGATTTTCATGGGTTGGCTTTCTAAGCAGATTTTGCTTGTTTGGTCACAAGGAACTGTAAACCTGGGAGATTTCTAGGGATGAAATCAGAATCAGAATGACATTTACATGTGATTGTTTTATTTGTGGACGTATCTAAATTTTAGTTAAATAAGTGTAAAGATAAGAGAAAAGAAACTTAAGTCTGTACATTAATTTAGGGGATAAAAAGAAAATAAAGAAAGTGGCAGATTGTATTAAGTTGGTGGATAACAAAATGGCGTTAGAGTTCAGAATTTAGATAGTATTGGATAACAGTCAATATTGCATGAGCATTGACCATGAACCATATTTGAAGGTGTAATTAGCCCATGGAGTTTGGAGAATTCTTTTTAGTTTTATATGCGCATAAATATTGATGCCTAAATTTAGGAAAATATTTGCTTCAAGATCTTTTTAGTTTCCTTTTATATGTAGGTATCTCCACCTATGGAATGTCTATAAAAGTTGTTTCCATTAATTATCAGTGCTATTTGCAAAATGAACACAAAAATATTGAATATAGTGTTTGCTGAACAGTTAGTTATCTTCCCTTAACCAAGATTTCTCTTTCTGTGGTTTCACTTACTCATGGTCAATTGTAGTCTGAAAACATTAAATGGAAATTTCCAAAAATGATAAGTTTTAAATAACTTTAATTATAGTATATTTTATGGTGATTTCATCATTAATTATTAGTTAATCTCATACTATGCCTAGCTCATGAATTATACTTTATCACAGGTATATATGTAGAGGAAATACAGTAAATACCTTTTCAGTATTGTATTTGCAGATATTCACTGTGGGTCTTGGAATGTATCCCCAGCAAATAAGAGGGTACTACTATATATTAATCATAAAACTTTTTAAAAACAGAACCATAGAGTTATATTAGGAATAACTTGTATGCCTTATTTTAAGTGACATAATTCAAGGTTCATGAAGATGTGGTTTGAGAATTATTAGTCACAAAGGATATGACTTTTTGGTTATGAAATTAAAGATTTGTAATTGTTCAGTATAAGTATTTTTATATGAATAATTGAAATGTGCTAAAATTAGTTAATGAGTTTTGAGGACACTTCAACACATTTGATGCATCTTCATGTTCTTAATATTTGATGACTACTTTGGCTTCTGACCAAAATTTTCTTGACTGTCAAGAAATCAGAGTTTTAAAGCAGATTTTGTTAATAAAACGCACATATTAGTAATGTCATGTCCTGCTAGAATGTCTGAAGTTAAACTATTCCAATTTTTAACATATAAAATATTCTTATTTAAATATTTTTCAAGTCAAGTCATCAGTCACAAGAAATTCAGGAGGTAATATTGTATTGGAAAGCCTGGTCTGTAAGGTATTAAAATTATTATTCTCACCTTTATAGAGAAATATATATATATATATATATATATATATATATATATA